CTTTTAGTTTTCTCAAAATGAGAAATTTGGCGTTTTGGCGGATTTCTGAAATAAACGATTCAATTAATGAACGTAAAATTGGTATTAACATTTTACGGATGCACATTTGGGTTTCTTTGAGTCATCATAGTTAACATTTCCCTGAAATGCTTGTTTAATCTGTGGAGTGCCCGTCGTTTGTTTAAAAGCTCTTCCTGCCATTTGCACATTCACTGTCTTCGTCGCGCTTTAAACTTGCTTTCACGGACAGTCTTATTGACGTTTCCGGGCCGTCCCTTGCCGACTTCGCCAGCTATTGCATTCACTTTTATACTCCCTAACTCCAGCTCTCTTCCCCCGCATAGCCGTTCTTTTCCATCTCAACTTATCCTGTAACTTGTCCTCTCGGTAGCCCTGCCGACTTCCTCCCTCGCCCCCGCCCCCGCCGCCTCTCAGGCCCGCGTACTTATTCAACTTAAAAAGTTTTCTCCGCTCCTTTTTTTCACTTGGGCTCACGTCTTACGTACACCATTACTTCCTTTTCCTGTAGCACGCACGCCCTCTGTTCTCTCTTTTACTTCGAAACTGCTCCCGCCACTTTGTCTCTCGTCCAATCGAACCTTCCTCGAACATTCTTTTTTGCATCCTCACTTTCATTTAAAAACGTTCAAATTCAGACTTGGCGCTTCGCTTTTAGGGTTATTTAAGTTTCTTTGAGCGTTTACAGGGAGATATTATTTGATCTCGGTGTGAGATAGATACACTTGTTGCATCGGATGGACCTGGTCCCAAAGTGTTAAGTAGTATTATCATTTAGGCTTTGTTAAAAGAAAATGTCTTTTCGAAAAATGCACATTATCTTCTTAAATCTACAATCTTTATCATCACTTATTAGAGTGAATGTATCTGTAGCAAATATCTCATATCAAACATTTGTAATTGATGGTTATTAAACTAATTGCAATACGATTCACAAGTTGTTAGTCAAATACTCTGATTCGAGAAATGGAGATTATGAAACAATTTAAAATGTGAAACAAAAAAGTTGAAAATGATTACAGGATTAAGATGTTCCGTGAGACTGATAACACAATGTTCAGGGACTCCTACGATTGCGAATATTATTTAAACTTGGAATATTTCTAACAGTCGTTAATTGAATCAAACTGTATTTAAAAACCCAGCTCACAAAAATAAAACGACAATCTAACGGAACGAACATTTGGTTATGTGGTAAGAGTTTGTTAAATTCCATTTTTTTAAAAAATTGCACTCCAGGAAATGTATTTGAAGTTATGAATACGGCAGACAAAATTTTGTTAGTCATGAATTCAAATGAATCATATATCTGAAAATTTCACATTTCAACAGTGAGCACCTACCACGAGTAAAATGATAGCCTCGATCCCCGCTTAATAAAACTACTTAATATGTAGAATATTTACTCAAAACTTTCTATTAACTAACGATTCGCCATTGTTTGTTTTTCAGTTCTTAAGCATTATTATTTTTATTCGGCTTCTAATTTGATAAAACAAAAGACAAGTTATTTATATAGAGACTTTTACTAATGATCAATGAAAATAGATTATTAATTCATAAAGTTATTAATGGAATCACGCCTCTCGGGTCGCTCGTATTTGGCGTTTTACCTTTCCGTGAGACGGTTCTGTGTTCGATTCCGGGATAAACAAAATATAAGCTATAGTTTTCTCATTCAAATCGTCTGATTATACAATACCGTGTAACAAAAGCAAAGAAAGCTAGGTTCGGTGATGGGAATCATTTTTGCTCGCCACATGTCCCTTTTTTTCTCAGACGTGGATAATGAGTACAAAGAGACCCAGACTTGGGAACAACAATAGCTGGCAAACGTCGTGTTAATGACCCTGAAATGCCAGATATATACTTACACACATCAATGGAATCTCCACGAATCACCCGCGAGAAAATCTTCATCAAATAGCGAAGGAATCCCCTGTCACCGCCGGCGCGTACATCAAAAGAGTATAGCGCAGCAGACCGCACGAGCGCCCGAGTGGTTTGCGCCCGTCCGTGGCGACCACGTGGTGCAAATCACGCGGGGTTTAATTTGCGCCGCAAAAGGGGGGTCCCTCGCAACATGCTGCGCGTGAAATCACGGACCCGTTTTCATTGCGGGTTGTTGTTGTGCATTGAGTTTTGCGGTCGGTGCGGCTACGGGATTTTCGGGAAGTCGCCCTGCGTTTGCGCTGCGGTCGCGGGGCAGGTGCTCGCGAATCCCGTTGGGCGGGGGATGGGCACGAAAATAATGGTGCGCGGTAATTAAATGTAAACTATGTTATTCGGGGTTCATGAATTACTTTTATTCGTCAAAATTTCGGTCAAAATCTATTACGCAGGGTTCGACAAAAAAGCTATCCTGAATTTTAAAAGGCAGCTACAAACAAAGAAAAAAAGGTAAAAAAAAAACTGCTTTTATAAAAATGTTTATTTGTAATTAACAAATACTATGCCATTTTACGTTAGTTGGTTTTAAAAATTGTGTGTGGTAAATTGCGTCCTCGATTGTTGACACGTTGACGAAAACTTGCCCGGAAGTTGTCCATAATTATTCGTTGGCAAAATCCGGTTTCAACACGGTTTATCACAGTTTACTATTTGCTCCGTTCTCTATCAATTTTAAGAGAGTGTTTCCTCGGCGTGTTCTCCCTTTGCGTGGAGATACCACCTGACACCACAGTCACCGGATTTATAACCTTGCATTTCTTTTTTTGTGGGGGACGGAATTCTCAATGACGCAATGGTACAAACAACCCTGCATGCACTCAAGGACAAAATCGTCCCGGTTGTGACTGCCATTCCATCGGAAATGTCACTAAAAACTATGGACAACTTCCGGGAAATGTGTCAACAGTAGAAGACGTATTTTACGTGATATAATGTTTAAAAACAAGTAATGTAAAATGGTATATATTTGTGGTTCTCAAGAAAGTATTTTTCTGTACCTGTTTGTAACTCTTTTCAAACACGGGAGGTGTTTTTGACGGAGCGCAACGCGTTACGCGACGAATTCGCGAGTGTGCGGTGATCCAGTAGTCATCGTCAAACCAACAGTCAGTTAAAGCAATTTGATATTTATGATTTATGTTGATAACTTTTTTGATATATTAATTGAAAACTAATAAATTACTCATCACGGAATGCACGTCCCCATTCACAGAGATTGTTAGTGAAGTGGGTGAGTGGGCAAACAGATGTCTTTATTAATGTTCATGGGTTATGTCTCTGCTTATACATCTATGGGGGAACGCAAGGAAGATCATTATTGTTATATGATTTGTGATAAGCCGACGTTGTTGATTATTGTAATATTACAGAGCAATACTTTTAATTCACACATGCGACCTCCCGACCTCGGGGATGTATGTCGGTCACAAGTACTTGAGCAGTGTTGGAAGGTTACGTATGCTATACTTATAGAGAATAACTTGCTCTATTATCTTAGACTTTTGCCTAAGTGTGATTTTAGAATGTGTCGCACTTCAGGTTTGGAGGATTAGGATTTGGAATACTAAGTGAATATAACTGGGAACCAGAAATAAGGACACAAAATTATGGCATGCAAATCCATCTATACTTGTGGTCTTCAAACACTACAAATTATAACAATGTATTACTCAGCAAATTAATACGAAGATTCATCAAATGTCATAATTGTAATGTTATTGAGCTATAATTTTAATTCCCACTTGCGACTTCCCGACCTCGGCCGATGTACCAAAGGAAGCCTGGACATATTGTAATGAGTGATTTATCGTCAAGTCTTTCTTGTTATTACTCGTTGAAATTGACTTCGTCACTCACGTTCCCACCGGCCACGGCACGTACCTCGTAGGCGTAACACACGCTCCAGCATCGGGTCGCTGAATCCGCACCAGCAGCAACCTCCGACACTACCTCATTGCTACGCAACTCCCCACGGGATATAACAGCGAATTCAGCTCCAGAACGCCGCGACCTTTCTAGCAAACTCCTGGCAGACGTTCTCCGCAGGGAACTCTCGAGCAACACGCCTGAAGTCATCACGCGGCCCGCGCCAGACCTCGTATTCTAACGTCACTGTTTGGCCGCCAGGCTTTCGAACGTGCCAGCGACCGTTGCAGTGTTAGCGGGCTTTGAAATGCTGGCGGCCACATGGGAACAAAGAATGGTGCAAAACAGGGCCGGCTGAGGGGGAGTTGTCACCCCCAGGAATCAGGGTGGGATGGGGAGAGTGACCCCCCCCCGGAAGCATGTTTAAGCTGATCGGCGAGACTCACTCCTCAAGGAGGCTGTTGGCGTCACGTCACCACCAACAATAAGTGAGCAGAAATGACAGGAAGAGCAGGACTTCGCTTGAGAGTGCCACGAGTGCGGGCGCAACTGCCAGCCCGAAAGGCGGGCGTGTATTCCTCGTGACGCTGCAGGGCGTTGCACTGGGTGTCTGGGCACCGGCGCGGTGAAGCGTCTGGGTGGAGAAGCACTAGGCAGGGGATGGGGAGCGGTGTGCGTGGGAGTTACAGAGGTAGATACCGAACATAACCCCAGAACTGTACATGTTTGTACAATCTTGTAAATATACAGATTGTAAATAGATCTTGTGACTTGGTCTACATTTCGCTACCACGACGTCACGGTATCGCTTCGCTCCAAAGCAGCCATTTCCTCCCGCGGCAGCTGTTCCGTCACCTTCTGCCTCGGGGCGCTTTAAAAACTGCAACGGCGTTGCAACGCGCTTCAAACTCGAACGTTTCGGAAAACAGAATGTGGGTGTTTCCTCTCGGGCCCTTCCTGCCAAAGTTCGTCATTTCTTTGTTGGTAACCAACGTGAGGTCGAGACGGTGCCGTCACCTGCATGTTACGGCGGCAGCCGCGCGAGGCATTCAAAAACCTCGAGCTCTGGCCCCACCTCCAGCCCCGATGTGAGACACCGAATGTTAAAAAATACGAAGTTGTTTATACCATCACCCGTCGTTCTCATGCCCTATTTGTGTGCGCAGGGGTGCCCAACACGGCGGAGTTCGGCAGCAACCCCCTGGGCCGGTACACCGAGCGCTACAACCTCACGTGGTCCGTGGTGAGCTTCTCGCCCATCGAGGAGTTCAAGCTCA